GGCCACAAATATATACTCATCAAGATTATAACGATGCTTCCACACGCCAAACATTTGATTACATGTATCAACCATATCTATATTTCAAATAACAGTACGAATAATCAACTACACAATGAAAGATGATGAATCTAAAAACTTACTCTACCCCTCGTAGTCGTCCTCTTCTTCATTTTTCTTTTATGAAGATGACAGGATTTCCTAAAAAATTGAACACACAGTTAGATGATGCCCAAAGATTATCTACTAAAACAAACAAAAGTATAAACACCAAAACAAAAACAAAACCCCTAATAAATAGCTTATTGATTAGTTTTGTTTTCTTTGTCAACTCTCATACAATCTCGATTTTTGTAGTTCTATCCATCGATAAGTAGATTCAATCTCATTCACGAACATCAATGGTTTTGGATTAAAGCTCACATGATCTCTAACACAAAACATAAATCAAATTAAAAGATACAAAATAAGTTAACCAATATTAATATTGATTCATATAAGATAATAAGAGTTTACGCAAAATTATATCACAAGAAAAATTCAAACTCGACAGAAAAAAGAAAGAAAGCATAACACATAATAAAAAAGTTTGATTCATAAAAAAAAACGAAGAAATAGAAAGAAAAAAAATCACTATATCAAAACTATCTATTTAGGCTAACCAATCCGATTGATAATGGCGTGGCCGAGTCTCTTCAAATAACTGTAAAATCGATAAACTAATAGAATTTCAGAAACAATGAACGTGAAAGATTACCTTATTCCTTGTGTTTCTCTTTTTTTCATTGTTATAGACGAAGATTTACTGAAAACAATAGAACACACGATTAAATATATCAAAATATTCATTTGAAAAAATCAAGTGACTGTAATAGTGAATTTTACTTTTCAATATATTACATCTTGTGTCTACACTATTGTCTTCATCAATTGCTTTATCTTGAAGCTTCGTGTTTTTTGTGGTTCTGCTTTTCTTTTTCCATGTATCCTACTTCGAATATCTTTCCAACTCTCGAGTCTCGTCCTTACACCAATTAAAACAGCATAACTGATGAGAATAAATCAAAAACTATTTAATTGGTATATATAGTTAAGAACAATGCATACATCATTCTCAAAAAGAAAACAAATAGAAATAGAATGGGACAGTAAAATGATAAACCGTGAACCAAACTTGGCTTTCGATCAAGTTCAAGATTATTTTTCATATAAAGTTGATCGAAGTTCCAACGTAACTGTCAAGATGAAGGTGAAACCAGAAGCATACAAAAAAAAGAAACTACCTCAGAAAAGAACATTGCACCAAATAAGCTATGTGTCTGCATCAATAATGTCTTGTTTGTTTTAATATCAATTGAGCAAACTATAGAAAAACACATTTACAAACGTTTGAGGGAAGAAATAACCAATAGAACAATTAATAATTAAAGCTTGTGCAAGATCAATTGATTTTACCGATTGAATTTGCAAGCAAACATAACCCAAAAAGGATTTTAGCTTTTATTTGCCTTCATTCTCTAAACCCAGCTGCCTTCCTATAAGACACACATCAATGCTGAAACATAAGTGACATGAAATAGAAAATAATAGATCTTAAAAATAAAAACAGAGAGATTCACCGATTACGTAGAAGAAGACACTTACTTGTTGCATGATGTATGAGATCTTCTAGGCTATTTTTCAGTTTGTATAACATAAGAGATTTGAGGATGATAGAGACAAACACATATCGATATGTGGAAGAAAATTGGATTTTATATTTGTGGAAAGGATATGAATCAGAGGAATAGACGGCGAACAAAATCATCAAATATTTTTATGTTGTTCTATTGTTTTTTTTTTTTGCTTAAATGTGAAATTTATATATGTGAAAAATGACTATACATAACGTGGGAGTTGTTTAAGAAAGCACCAGAAAACAGAGTAAACTATGTGAGTATAAAATAAAAACAGAGCCACTCTAACATCTTCGTAGCTCCTCCCAACGAAGCTACAGGTCGCAAATCTTCGAGGTAGGCGGCAATCGCAATGATGTTATCCGATCTCCAATGGCTTTATCAATCAGTTTGATCAACGCACTTGATGTAGGACCGCGAAATCCCGATTTGAAAACAGAGAGAAAGAACTTTTAGAAAACACTTGATGTGTTGAAACCTTGGTTGTGACTCCTATTATTCCTCTCCCTCCAAATCATATAGAGAGTTGTTTGGAGGAGCATTATGAGCAAAGTCTTGTCTGTGAGGTTGAACTGAGTTGGACGGAGTGAAGCTAGTGTCCTAGACCAGTCTGGATTAAGCTTTCGCCGTAGTAAACGATTGGTGAATTCAGACCATATGGTGAAGGTGTACGGGCAAGGAAAAAGAGGTGGTCTCTTGACTCGTCTTTTTCGCCACAGAACCCGCACGGTCTTAATACTCCCCAAGCTCGCATGCGTACTCCTGTAGAGAGCCTGTCCTTTATTGCGAGCCAGACGATGAAGGAGAAGCGTGGAACTCTCTGAGGGAACCAAAATGTTTGGTGCCACAGTACCTTATTTCTTGATTGACGTATTTGATTCCAAGTTTGACGCGTTGAGAAGTTTGGCCTGTATTCAGTGGCATCATGTCTACAAAGCGGGATGTCTAGTCCCTTGTCCGGGTGTGGGATTGGTGTTAACTGCAGCGTGGAGACTATGTTCCGTAAGACTTGGTTGCGACATCTGCGAACAGTCCAATGAGTGGTAGTTGCCGCTTCTGCAACCGAGCTACACTTAAGCACACCAAGGGAAACCGGCCCTGCAGCTCCTGTGATGGAAATTAAACGGCCTGATTCTAACCATTTATCCCACCAAAAGCTTGTACTTCTACCATCTCGAACCTCCCATTTGAAGAAATCATCCGCCACAGTTCTGAGCTTTAAAAGCTTTCGCAAAATCCAAGAGCCCTTTGTACTGTTTTTATCTTCCCAAAAATGACGTTGCTTCAGGAGATACTCTCTTGTGCATGCGACCCACAGTGAACCAGAACTGGTTAATAATCTCCATATCAGACTTAGAGAAAAAACTTGTGACACATCTAGAAGTCGGCGGATGCCTAAACCCCCTTCCTCCACCGGTAAACAAACTTCTTCCCAAGAAACCTTTGCTTTGCTATGAATGTTTGGGGAACCAGACCATAGAAAAGCACAACACAAGCTCTCTATTTTATCAAGACATCTTTGTGGGAGCCGGAAAACCGAGAGCCAGAAATTGGAGATACTCATAATCACTGATTTTATCAATTGAACTCGACCCGCATAAGAGAGAGACTTACTTGTCCAGGACAGTAAACGACCTCTTATTTTTTCAATGAAAGGCGCATAATCAAGACGCGTCATGGATTTAGTTGTCAAGGGCAGGCCAAGATACCGAATGGGAAGGGAGCTGCGACCAATGCCATGCTCAGACGCGGCCATTACGGCTAAGTGCTTATCTTTACCCGCAGTGAATATGGAGGATTTTGAAGCGTTTATACTCAACCCTGACATGTTGAGTACGGCTAAGTGCTTATGTTGTTCTATTGTTGAATACGACAGATACAAGTAAAACTCCAGAACATCGAATAAATTAAGATCCATGACCATAACACTAATGATATAAATTTTATATAATAAAAAAATATTAGTAAACTCTACCATGTATATACATGAAATAGAGATTAATTCACAATGATCATCAATAATCGATCAAACCAAAAAATAAAAATACAAACGCACTGAAATTAAAACAAACACTAATAATACCTTATCATACTTTCTTTTTTACTTCAGCAACTCGTTTGTCTAAACTCGTTTTTATCGAAACTTCACGATCGGTATACCTAAGACAGAAATCAAAAGATACAAAATCAGTAAAAATAAATAAATAATTCGTAGAACAACCAACAAATTCATATAACAAAAAGCATAATCGCATGATAAGAAATTCGATAAGCAATATAAAAAACCCTAATAGCAAAACTATTTATTGAACATAAAAAGCTGGTTCGTAACTGTGGGGCAGAAACTCTGTATTTATAGCCTCAAACTTAGGGCAAACCTCCGATATTATCTTAAGAAATTTAACTTTTTTAATTAGAAACTAAATCAGAAAACTAACAAAAACGAATATTAACTACTAAGATATAGAAATTATCCAAAAAATAACATATAAATTAAAGCTAAGATTCCATAATCATTAAAGTCGAGATATTATGACCTCCATATCCCCAACGATCATACTATAAAATAAAAAAAATTAAGGGTGATTAAGACTAATCATCACAAAACACGATTAGACTTATATACCCTTAACAACTAAGAACAAAAATTTTCGAATTGAGGGTGTTTAGGACATTATTATAGAGATCAACACACGATTAGACTTATATACCCCTAATTACGAAGAAGAAGAAATTTCGAGAAGAACAATTCATTAAGGGTGTTTTGGACAAATCATTCTAACTTTTAACCACAGGCCTCCAATGCCCTAACTTTCAATACGGTGCGTTTCTACTTCTCAAATAATTATTGTAGAGATAAAAGGACTAAAATGTAAAAACGTCAACGCAAGATTAGTCTCTTCTCTCTCTCTTTGTCTTTCGTCACTTCGCACGCAAATCAAAAGCCAGACTTTAAAACCACTTGCCACCGTATGAGAAGCATTTCTCTGACGGTCGATCCTCCGCTCGCCACGCCGCCGCCACGTCAGCAGTCTCCTCCATCAAAATAGATTCCTTTTCACCAATCCCATCATCAACCAATTTTCGAAGATTCGAATCCAATTCTTCTCCTCCTTCTGAGAAAATCTCATATTTTTGCGAATTTACGAAACTTTTTGGTATGTTTTGATTTGCCTTTGTATTCAAACTCTTCGCTTCTACCGATTCGTCTGAATGAGATGCGTTTTCATTGTCACTTCCTTTAGGTTTTGAATCGGGGACTAAGCAACGATTCGAAGGTTGTTCCGACTGAAACGGTGCCGTTTTAATTCGCTGCAAATGCTTGCCTGAGAAACACCTTTTGTTCTTTTATGTAAATACAAGGTAAAAAATATTATAAGTGAAGAAGCATATGCAAGTTCGTGTTGATCCTTATTGCTACCAATTTTGTTTGATCATATCAGTGTAGAGTCGAGAATTTGAGTAGAGATGGTGGGGGCAACTTTGTTTCACCGTAGAAAGCATTCATGGCCGGCTGAGGAATTCATCAGCAGAAGTACTCTGCAATTAGTGAGTCAATTTTTTTGGATGTATAGAAAGAATCGTTACGATTGGAGAACTTGACTTTTGACTTGTACTGTTTTTTGTATCCATAGCTTGATTTTGATTGTGCTGCTCCGCCACCACACGCATGGAGGAGGAGATTAAATTGTCATGCCAATATCCTTAAAGAATTCACTATTACTTTTAGGGAAGCCATTAAAATGGTAAACAAGACATCTTGTTATTATTTCCTTCATTTTGTGGTTTGGAGTTTACTAAATGTCGTAGGAGTGTTTCTTTACTTCTTATTTGCGTAATTACAGGTACGCTTGGGGATACGATTATGGTCATATGTCAGAGAAGAGGCTTCCCATGGAAGGGTAACTTAACTCCCTTGAGCAATAGAGTTTCTTGATATACATATTTATGGTTGGTGATATTATGGTGCAAAGTTTTGGTCTTTGTTTTGGAGATTTAACTTATGATTACTGCAGAAAGCACCTATCGATCCCTTCACCAAAGAGAACTGCAAACCATCTGCATCCCAAGGTGTTCCACTCGGAGGAATGGGGTACATAGCAGATATCCTCTCATTTTTGGTTTTATTGGCGATGATTTCGTAGTTTAGGTTTGACCAATGCTGCTTGTAATTGCAGAAGTGGAAGCATATCTAGAGGCTTCAGGGGTGAGTTTAAGCAGTGGCAAATCACTCCCGGAACTTGTGATCCATCACCTATGATGTCAAATCAGTTTTCTGTAAGTTTTCTTCTGTGGTTACCCATGTTCTTATCGCCATTCAGCTAATTTTACTGCTACAATTAATTTTTTCTTGTTTGTAAAGTTTTTGCTAAGTTTTTCATTATATGTTATCTAAGATCTCTGACACGTGTTTCTTATTACATTTCGTTGGGCCCATTCTTTGCAGATTTTTATTTCTCGAGATGGTGGACACAAAAAGTATGCATCAGTTTTGTCCCCAGGGCAGCATGGAAGTTTAGGGTAAAGATCTGTTTTATAAATACCCTCTAATTCAATGATGCTTTTTTTCTTAATTCACGTACCTTAGATTGGTTTCATGGTCTCAGAAAATCACGTGATAAAGGTCTTTCTTCATGGGGCTGGAATCTGAATGGCCAGCATTCAACTTATCATGCTCTTTTTCCTCGGGCTTGGACTATATATGATGGTACGACCGTGCAGGGCTTCGTCATTTAAAGCTAGTGTATTTCTCTCAGTGTATCTCTTGTAATGTTTCTTCTGTTTGTAGGTGAGCCTGATCCAGAGTTAAAGATTTCCTGCCGGCAAATATCTCCCTTTATACCAAACAATTATCGAGATAGTAGTCTTCCAGCAGCTGTTTTTGTATATACGGTAAGTAATCCGTTCATCTAGTGCCTATTCACATTGGGTTGGTTCCCGCTTCTGTGAAAGCATGTGACATAAGAATGGATATATGCACATTCCACATGTAGGGACCTGTAGTGATACTTTTGCCTTAGATTAGTATCAAAGTGCCAATGTACATGCCATGGGATTGTTGTTGTAGCTCAGACCATACTTTTGTGTGATGGCTTATTTGGTATCCTTATATTATATATCAGAAATGGTATGAAGTATGAACATCAATCACTTTCAAGCAAAATCCGAGGAAAACCTTATGACATATATTTTTTGTTGTAGTTGGTGAACACTGGAAAGGAAAGGGCAAAAGTCAGCCTCCTATTCACATGGGCGGTGAGTTGACATCTGAATTACTTAATGTACATTATATAGAAGAGGAGAAGGAAGATATGTTTATCACCTTTATGTTGTGCAGAATTCAATGGGTGGGACTTCACATATGTCAGGGGGTCATGTGAATGAGCCATTCATGTAAGAAGAAATATGTGCCTGTCTTTTCCATAAATGATTATGGCTTCAAGTGGATGTTTAATTTTTTTTGGTTCTGTTTTCTTTGCAGAGGCGAAGATGGGGTCTCTGGTGTCCTCTTACATCACAAGCAAGTCATCTTACCTTAATAACTATATATTACGGTTGGTTTGCATATATCTCGTGGTAGATTCAACACTTTTGAAAAGTGTGGTCTATAGTGCCATTATTTCGTATTGGTTTAATGGAGGACGATTAGGAAATTGCAGTACCTTAAGTGCTATTTTTTAAAATCAGTACCACTTCCTGCAATTGAAGTATGCAAATAATTGATCTGATGAACTAAGCAAATGATACAGTGGTACCAACGCATCATTAGAAAGTCCGCCAACTAAGAACACCTTATCAGTCAATAGTAAATGCACAACACAGAGAAAATAGATAGTTGAAGCCGGAGTCTCCCATGCAGTTTAGCACCAAAATGTTCCCTGGGTAGACTTTTCTTTATGTGTGAAGGCTTAGTGTGCTGCATTCAATGTACCGCTCTTATCTTGTTGCATTATCTGTCCAAGTGTATGCACGTCTCCTTATCTTTCAACTCTTTTGTAGCGTGATTCGTTCTACTGCTGTGTGATTAGTTGACAATTTATCTCGGAATTTCTACTTATCCTGGTGCAGTCTACTCTTCTGTCGCAGCTTGTAGTTGTGTTGTGCATGTGTCTGCCTGAATATATAGTCTTGTCATATTCTTTCTCTCTGTCTTCTTTTGAATAGGTGGAATGTTGATATGAATATAAATACTTCTTGAGTGTTTGACATTCTTTACTGACTTAGCTATTCATATGCTCTCTTGATGAAGTTGAATCTGCTAGAATATATTTGTATTGCAGTAAAAGATTGTGTTCTTTACTCTAAGCGGATAGATTTGTTTTGAATGTGTGCTGGTTTTGCAGGACAGGCAAGGGAAATCCTCCTGTTACATTTGCGATTGCTGCTTCTGAGACTCAGAATGTTAATGTAACTGTTTTACCATGCTTTGGATTGTCTGAAGATAGTTCTTTTACAGCGAAAGATATGTGGGATACAGTGGAAAAGGTGATTTTCTATGTATCATCGTTCTCATACTATGTGCATGTGGATTTCATACCTTATCAAAAGATGCTTTTGACTCTATCATTGATCTTTGTTCTGAATTGTCAATCGTATAAAACCTTTGGCTTCAAATATATGGTGTCATTTTTATAAATGAGACTAACGTTTAGATATTTAATCTACAAGGATGGGAAATTTGATCAAGAAAACTTCAATAGCGGGCCAAGCACGCCTTCATTAGCTGGAGACACTATTTGTGCAGCAGTCTCAGCTTCGGCATGGGTAGAAGCTCATGGCAAGTGCACTGTGTCTTTTGCTCTTTCGTGGTCATCACCAAAAGTGAAATTTTCAAAGGGAAGCACATATGACAGGTAAACAAAGTGCAACTTTTGTAGCCTCTTCCTAAGGTTGACAAATTAAGCTGGTTCCTTGACAATCGTTATCACCAACTTATTCTCATGTTATCGATGGTGTCTTAAAGTTGGCTACTTCTTCTGCCCATTGCTTCAGTTTTCTGTGTACCTTGTAGTTTACATCTTTTCTCAGTCATGCTGGATCTGCTTCTAAGTCCAGAATCTTGAAGACGCTCTCAGTGATGTGTCTTATATATTTTTTAATGTCAGAAAAGACTAAATCTGAGAGATAGTTCTAGGCAAGCTAACGATAAACCGTAGTGTCTGGCACTAGTTGTATACGTAGAAAATGGTCAAGCATACATAGGGTGATACTTCAGCATACTAAATAGAGGAGAATACATGAATTTTACTTTTTGGGTGTCATTTGTTTAACAAAGCTAAACCTAATGGCTGAATTGAGTGTATGGAATACATGCTTTAGAAGCTTACCAATATTTTAATGTGTGTCAAAGGCTGTTGATTTTCTGAGTTCTGTTGTCTATCTCTCTGTCTTCGGTTTGCAGGAGATACACTAAATTTTATGGAACTTCGCCAAGAGCAGCGCTGGACCTTGTGCATGATGCACTGACAAGTATGTATTTGTGGTGCTAATGTCTTAAGTTTCATATGTTTCACTTGTTGCCACCTTCTTTGGATGTATACGGTATACCTGATATTAAGGCTGTTAACTGGAATTGTTCCATGTTACACACACGTAAACACAATTTGTTTTCCGTTTTCCGTGGAATAGTGCTTATGCATTATTGACTAGTATTGGTTTTCTAATTCAGATTATAAGAGGTGGGAGGAAGATATTGAGGCATGGCAAAATCCCATTCTCAGAGATGAAAGGCTCCCTGAGTGGTAATTGCTTTGGAACTTAATAGATCTTTGAATACTTTGCTCTCTCACCGTTCTCCCCTGAACTATTTTTTTTGTAGGTACAAGTTCACTCTGTTCAATGAGCTTTACTTTTTGGTAGCCGGTGGTACAGTTTGGATAGGTACGCATCTATATGCCTCTTCAAAGGCAAACTCTTGATTGTAAAATTGTGTTTTTAGCATTTAACAAAATTTTATTGTTTTCATTATTTTGTTACTTTGAAAATATTGTATGACCTAATCAACGGTTTTCGGTTTCAGACTCTTCTTCACTCAATGCCAATGGGAATAGTCAGCATCAACAATCGGGTTTAGGAAATTCAGATGGTATGGCGGGTGGACTTGACATCAATGATCAACGGAATGACCTTGCTAATGGAAACAGCGTTGGAGTAAAAAGCAATGATGAAGTATCAGCTATTCATAACCGGAATGGTTTATTTGTCGACACTCGCCATGTAGATGATGGCGATGATGTTGGTCGGTTTCTGTATTTGGAAGGTGTGGAGTATGTGATGTGGTGCACATATGACGTGCACTTTTACGCATCATATGCGCTCCTTATGCTATTCCCAAAGATCGAACTAAACATCCAGCGGGATTTTGCAAAAGCTGTGTTGTCTGAAGATGGGAGGAAGGTTAAGTTCCTGGCAGAAGGAAATGTCGGAATTCGTAAGGTCAGAGGTGCTGTTCCTCACGATCTGGGAATGCATGATCCATGGAACGAAATGAATGCCTACAACATACATGACACAAGCAAGTGGAAGGATCTTAACCCAAAGTTTGTACTTCAGGTGTATAGAGATTTTGCAGCTACAGGGGATTACCAATTTGGAATAGACGTTTGGCCTGCAGTACGTGCTGCTATGGAGTACATGGAACAGTTTGATAGAGACAATGACGATCTAATAGAGAATGATGGTTTCCCAGATCAGACATATGATACATGGACTGTTCATGGTGTGAGTGCCTACTGCGGTTGCCTTTGGCTGGCTGCTCTTCAAGCTGCAGCAGCAATGGCTCTACAAATCGGTGACAAATTCTTTGCAGAATTGTGTAAAAATAAGTTTTTGAATGCAAAGGCAGCACTGGAAACGAAACTCTGGAACGGATCATACTTCAATTACGACAGTGGGGCAAGCAGCAACAGCAAATCTATACAGACTGATCAGCTGGCGGGTCAATGGTATGCCGCATCTTCAGGTCTGCCTCCAATATTCGAGGAATCTAAAATCAGAAGCACTATGCAAAAGATCTTTGATTTCAATGTGATGAAGACCAAAGGAGGCAAAATGGGTGCAGTTAATGGGATGCATCCTGATGGGAAAGTGGATGACACATGCATGCAGTCGCGTGAGATATGGACAGGTGTTACTTATGCAGCTGCGGCTACAATGATCCTCTCTGGAATGGAAGAACAAGGATTCACCACTGCTGAGGGAATTTTCACAGCTGGCTGGTCAGAAGAAGGTTTCGGGTAAGTTTTCTTTCTTCTTTGTATCCAGTCTGTTAAATGTTATCGATATCACACACACACAGATATACTCGAGCATGATGATGATGATTTATCTTTATTGAACCGAATAACAGATATTGGTTCCAGACACCGGAAGGTTGGACAATGGATGGGCATTACAGGTCATTAATATACATGAGACCGCTTGCGATATGGGGAATGCAATGGGCATTATCGCTGCCAAAGGCAATTCTGGACGCTCCTCAGATCAACATGATGGACAGAGTACACTTATCCCCAAGAAGCCGAAGATTCTCTAGCAACTTCAAAGTTGTGAAACACAAGGCTAAGTGTTTTGGCAATTCAGCATTAAGCTGTTCTTGCTAAATCATTCCGTCTTATTATATATAACATACAAATAACATTCACATCTCTGATATGATTATCGGAGTAACTTATATAAAAAAAAAAAAAAAAAAGTAAAAAATGTTATTTAAGGAGAGGAATTAGCCGACATGAAGCTGAAGGAGGTTCCTGAGTTGTAATATTAATAGAGTTGTATTAATAATAATAATAATAACCTGAGAAGAACAATTTGTGTTCTTCTTTTCTTCTGTTGGTTTATATTTATTGGCTTAAAGAAAAGCCACGTAAGAGCAAATAAAATGACAACACCTACGTACGCTTTATAGCGTTCAATGTAGACCTCAAGTTTTGAAGATTCCATTTCGTCCCTTTATAAAAGTCGCTTTCAAAATTGGTATATAAGAAAAAAAAATATCAATTTTGATTTCTGATGTTAAAATCCACGTCATCATAAGGTATGAGTAATCGAAAAAATCAATGGTTTTAATTTTCATTAATGACTTTGCCAAAAAAAAAAAAAAAAAAAAAACTTAAGTCAATATATAAAACAAATATCGACGTGACCTTATTAATAAATAAGAGAAGAGATCCGATTTAACATTTAACCACACAATCATTTGTTTATTTTCTCCTCTCCGTATCTGTGTCTCTCTTCTTCTTCGGATCTTTTAGTGTTCTTACTTCGTCGCTTTCACGCTTAAAGGTAACAACACTTCTCTCTTCCTCCTTCTTCTTCTTTGATTCATCGAGTGATTTCATTTATATAGACAGACAATCTCTCTCTTATCGATCGGGTTTTTGACTGATTCGAGATTCACTGTTTGTTTTTCGTTATTTTCTTTATCATTCATCGATTGGATTTTATTTTGCAGGTTTGGATTTTGTACAATCATGGCGAGGAAGATGCTTGTTGATGGAGAGGTTGACAAGGTGACGGCTGATGAAGCCAACGCCACGCACTATGATTTTGATTTGTTCGTCATCGGTGCCGGTAGTGGCGGTGTTCGTGCTGCTAGGTTTTCGGCTAATCATGGCGCTAAGGTCTGAATTATATTTTAAGATAGTGATGATCAAAAGACATTAGCTTAGTTTTTTTTATGTTGGAATCATTTCCTTGTTACGAGATATGTCTGGTTTTGGTGGCCTGATGATATTAATGTGTTGTTTGTTCTGAATCAAATGTTCTAGGTTGGTATTTGTGAGCTTCCATTTCACCCTATTAGCTCCGAGGAGATTGGAGGAGTTGGTGGAACGTAAGTTTTCTCCTATCCAAAATATATATTAGCTCTGGTTCTTTGTTGATGCAATGTTCTTATACATTTGTTTGTTTTTACTTTTGAGGTTTTCAGCTGTGTTATCCGTGGTTGCGTTCCTAAAAAGATTCTGGTCTATGGGGCTACTTACGGTGGTGAACTTGAGGTATGAACCATTCCTTTTCTTCTTTTTAATCATCATTTCAATGTCTTTTTTTTTTTTTTTAACTGTAAGAGCAAAGTTCTTCATTTGTTATTTGCACGATTGTATCGCTCTTCCAAAATTATTGTTTAGGCTATATGTCTATTAACAATTTGGTGAAATGAAGCTAAAATTGTGTTCGATGATGTATACTGTTGTTTATCTGCTGGCAGGATGCTAAAAATTATGGGTGGGAGATAAATGAGAAAGTCGACTTCACATGGAAGAAGCTTTTGCAAAAGAAGGTATGCAGGAATTGCTATGATGCTTATGTATTCTTATTTTTCAGTATTTGAGTTAAATATTCTTGATACACTTGCACTAGTCTTTCCAAGTCATGCCAATGAAATTAGGTAATTGTAAAACGATCAGGATTGTCACTTTGTACTTAAACACTGGAGTGGCTCCCTTTAATCTTTAGGTTATGAAGAATATATGACGAAAACTATTTGAAGAAAAGTTACCTATATGTTCATTTTTGGGGTGTTTTAGTGGTAATAGCAGTACAGCGCCTTCACTCTCTCAGAATGAGAAACGTCTAAAACTCTGGGTGTACAAGCATTGATATTTTTTCGCCATCTACTGAAGATATTTATATAATTATTTAAAAGTGTGAATGTTAGATGGCGGGGAACGATTTTTTCATGCTAAATTTTTTTCTATTGTGCGCAGTATACATGTGTAGGTTGGATATCTTGGTGATGTAACTATTAAGATCATAAATATTCAATTAACTGTCTTTAATTCATTATGTGCAGACTGATGAGATTCTAAGACTGAATAATATCTACAAGCGGTTGTTGGCAAATGCTGCGGTGAAATTGTATGAAGGTGAAGGAAGAGTAGTTGGTCCCAACGAAGTGGAGGTGAGACAAATAGATGGCACGAAAATAAGCTACACCGCAAAGCACATATTGATTGCCACTGGTAGTCGGGCACAAAAGCCTAATATTCCTGGACATGTAAGTGTCTGTGTTCATGTTATTTTTTTATCTACAATAGTGTGATGTGCTTGGTATTTATAAAATCATTATCCTCAAAGCAAGTCTGGAAAGATTTTAGTAGGAATGACAGACACATCTATATGTTTGCAATATGATTTCTCGTAAAATTAGTCTGCGAGAAAAACTATAAACTGCTATGTAGGGAAATTCCACTGAGTTATATACATAAACTGTCTTTTACAGGAGCTGGCTATTACATCTGATGAAGCTTTAAGCTTGGAAGAATTTCCTAAGCGTGCTGTAGTGCTTGGAGGAGGGTAATGTCTTCCTTAAATGTTTTCCTCAAGATGAACCTGGCATGCCACTAGCTTCAATGATTTAATCCTCTTATCTATTTACTTTTTAATTAGGTACATTGCTGTGGAGTTTGCATCAATATGGCGTGGAATGGGTGCTACCGTAGATTTATTCTTCAGGAAGGAACTTCCACTTAGGTGCCGGGTCTCGGTCAAATTATGTCGAGTTACTGAAAGTCCATCCGTTTATTTTTTAACTTCTTTTCTTTCTAAAACTCAACTTTTTCAGGGGTTTTGATGACGAAATGAGGGCACTAGTTGCTAGAAATCTTGAAGGAAGGGGTGTTAATCTGCATCCGCAAACAAGTTTGACCCAGGTATCTGAATATGATGGTTACTTTTCATGTCTCATTACTATATAAAGTTCTTTTCACTCGTTTCATAAGTTCATATTTCTTTACTGAACATACAATATCTTTCAATTTAGTTGATAAAAACAGACAACGGGATCAAAGTCATATCGTCCCATGGGGAAGAATTTGTGGCAGATGTCGTTCTATTCGCTACTGGTAAATTTCCTGTTGTGTGATTCTCACTTTCGTTTGTTTATAAATTATAATAGTGTAATTCTATATCTGTTTGATGTTCATCTCCGTGGCTTTTGGGTTATGGAACAGTAGTTTTCTTCCATTCTATTTTCGGATACTTGTATGTTTGTGCGGATTTTGCTTCCTCCTTTGAACTTTATTTATGAGGTATCTACTTGTTACTGAATATTTTCATGGAGAATGATTGATTTTACTGTAAAAATTACTGAATTATTATAGACTAGGAAGCTCTGTGGCTTGACGTCCAGCTGTCTAAGGATGTATTTTTTGTTTATATTTGATACAGGCAGAAATCCTAATACCAAGAGATTGAATTTAGAAGCTGTTGGTGTTGAACTTGATCAGGCTGGAGCTGTGAAGGTTTTAACAAATTCCCAATTGTTGCCAGATACAAATTTATCATGAATAAAGTTTTCCGTGATTCTGGGGAAACATTGTACTCTTGCAGCTACTAATTCAGCGCGTTATCCTCAGGTTGATGAGTATTCACGCACTAATATACCTAGCATATGGGCTGTGGGAGATGCTACAAACCGAATTAACCTTACACCTGTTGCATTAATGGAGGCCTCCTGCTTTGCGGTCCGTGCTTCTTATCTTGCACATATAATTTACACAACCCTTTGACCTACTACCAAATATTTCAGCTTTTGTGTTTGGGAAAGTCTAATTTTGTATTCCATTTGTGGATTGTTTTGATGCTTGCAGAACACTGTTTTTGGTGGAAAGCCTACTAAAGCAGACTACAGCAATGTCGCCTGTGCTGTATTTTGGTAAGTATTCTTTTTGATAGGAGGAAATTTTACTTTATTTGTGTGTCATATTGCATGCACTAGTTACCTTATAGTATGTGTGTATTGTGTACCAGAACAATTCTCTCGTTTTTCATTACTATCATGACCTCTAAATGTGAAAATATCAAACTCTGGAAATACCTGAAACTAGTCCACATATATTTCTCCTATTTTGGCATATGTTTTTGCTGTATCCACCAATTCAGTCTGAAGTATTTATAGAAGTGTTACTTTTTATATATATTTTTTCTGTCTGCCAGCATACCACCACTAGCTGTGGTGGGTCTCAGCGAAGAAGAAGCAGTAGAACAAGCAACCGGGGACATTCTGGTTTTCACCTCAGGCTTTAATCCAATGAAAAACACCATTTCTGGGTATACAAGCATTGAAAGTTCTAATTTCTAGAAAAATCTTTATATTGGCCCACAGTTCTTGATTTTATTTTGTAGAATCTTCTCTTGATTCTTCAACATGCTTGCATTGATCACTCTGTGAGGACTCTATCCTTCTCTTTCATCTAATCACAATTTTCTTTTGGTGATAGACGGCAGGAAAAGACATTGATGAAGCTAATAGTTGATGAGAAGACTGATAAGGTTATTGGAGCATCCATGTGCGGTCCTGATGCAGCTGAGATCATGCAGGCAAGTTTTACTTAATAGTAGCTTCTACCATTTATTTTACTTTCCTCTAGCTTGCTTTAGTGATTGGTGCAAAAGGCAAGGACAAAAATGATTTACGAGGTAGTTAAAAAGATTTGGGTTAATTACGACGATTGCATATGTACGAATTTTTCTTCTAACCATATTAAGGGATTCAGGGTAGAAGAGAAACTGATTTGAGTTTGAGAAGTATTGACCCTAGCAAAGATTTAAAAGCTTGTAAATGGGTTAGAGTTTGATCCGGAAGTGTCTCATGCTTTTAAGTATTTATTTTGTATGGCTTAATACAGGGGATTGCAATTGCGCTCAAGTGTGGAGCAACCAAAGCACAATTTGATAGCACGGTATGTCATACATCTTCCTGCAAAACATATAGTCCAAACACTTGGGTTTCATTTTCACCAGTTTGATGTTTCTCTTCCTAAAGATCAAATTTAACATTGTGACAAAACACAGGTTGGGATACATCCATCTTCTGCAGAAGAATTTGTGACAATGCGCAGTGTGACCAGACGCATTGCCTACAAGCCCAAACCTAAGACGAATCTATGAACCGCAAAAATCTAAAGAGACAATAGCATGAAAA